TACTATACATAATTTGAAGTTTATTTTCAACACAAGGTTCAACCAGATGCCTAGTCCTGGATGTTGACAGAATCTTTCTTCTAACTTTGGGAATCAGCGCTGAGACACAGGCAGCACTTTTGTTTTTGTCACACTGGGCAGATATGGAGAAGAGGCAGTGGCGTTGCATGTGACCTCATGGCCAAGCACAAGCCTTTTTCTACTATAGGAGGATAGAGCCCTTGCAACTCTTCCTTCCGCTTCAGTGGTGTTTGGCCTGCAGCCCTGAGGTTTGTGGCACCTCCCACCACAAAAGAACCATTCGCAGAAAGCTCCCTTTGAGATCCATACATTTATGAGGTTTGGGGCCAACACAGCCTCGGCAAACCTAAATATACCAGGTCTAACGAACTCATTATCTCTGGCAACTTCACTGAGTGCAGGACTGGTGGTGGTGGAAAGTGCCATCAAGCCACAGCCAACTTATGGCGACCTTATAGGGTTTTCAAGGCAAGAGACCTTCAGAGGTGGTTCGCCGTTGCCTGCCTCTGCGTCATGACCCTGGTCTCCCTTGATGGTCTGCCATCCAAGCACATAATCTAGATTTAGATTTATTAATACGGTCAAAGACCAGCATAAATCATATACATAAAAGAATATACGTATAATTAAAAATATAATTTAAATTTGATAAAAGATATCACAGATTTAAATAAACATTATATTAAATTTAAGAACCACTACTTAAAATAACTTTACGGATTTTGCTAGCGCCCGCAAAAAACCTTGTGCAAGAACCTGTGATTTGTGGATTCACACCGGTAATCTGCTTAGCTTCCGAGATCTGACAAGATCGGGCTGTCCTGGGCTATCCAGGTCAGAGCGCAAGACTAGCTGTCGACAATTTCCACATGGTGTTTTTTGCTGCGTCTCAGGTTCCTAGCTGATACAGGTTTTCCCCATTCTTCAGAGTTTTGTTAGATTTTTCTTCTTTCTTTTTCTCAGACCACCTTTGCACCTTACTTTTTACCAGGAACGGAGCCAAAGCAGTTTTTCTTTTCTTTGAAAGATTTGCATTGCTTTGTAAGGTTCCACCTACTCCCCCGCCATTCTCTATTTTGGTTTTGTGGTGCTGGTATTTTCTCTGGCACCACTCTCGAATCCCTCCTCCTTGTTTAAAGAAGATGTCCAGCACTCGCTCGGGCAGGCACAGGCCCCCTACACTGGCTGCTGAGCTCAGTGTCCTTCTCCCAGCAACAGCTATAGCATCAGGTGACCACCAACCCTGTGCCGTACGTGTCAGATATGGAATATAGATTCCATATCTAATACTCTTTTCTAATGGATTATGTTCTATGAAATGCTGCATTAAATGCTTATATGTCTGCCACTAGGTGTGCAGGACCAAGAGAAACAGCTATTTTACAATTGCAGCTGTCTCCGGAACTCTCTGTGTGTTTAGCCTGAAATTTCTTAATCTCTGTTGAGAGACGGAGAATGCTCGTGAGCACATCGGAGAAAGTGTCTGTATGAAAAGCCGGTCTGTCTTCCGCTGTTTCTGGGACCCACGTCCCTGGTCGTTATGGTGCTTTGTTACTCCTTCCGTCTTTCATTGCCTGGAGCCCCTTCAAACCCTACCTCCTAGTTATGCTTCTCAGGCAGCCTTCTCCTGGGGGTACCCTCGCCTAAGATTGTTTGCTTGGCAACAGTTTAGACCATGCGCTTTCTGTCTGGTAGGTCCATTCCGCTGGAAAGGCCTACTAGGGTAGGTGTGACAGATGCCTTCTCTTGCTGCATTCAGAAAGGCGTTTATTCCGGAGGGCTTTTCGTGTTTGGGCAGATTTAACTGCATTTTTAACAGGGTGTATGGGCGCAGCTTCCCTTCTCCTGGAGGAAGGAGGGCTCCTTTGTGCCCTATGCCAATCCTTTCCCCATGAAGCAGGAGTCCGGGATCACGCAAAACGGGGTTCAAGAGTAGTTTGATTCTAGCCCTGACATGGATAGCCCAGGCAAGCCCGATCTCGTCAAATCTCGGAAGCTAAGCAGGGTCGACTCTGGCAGCTACTGGGATGGGAGACCTTCTTGAAATACCAGATGTGGAAGGTGGGGGCAGGCTCCTGAATATCCTACAGGCCCCCATAGGGCTGCCAAATGCCCCTGGGGGGCGGAATTCCCCCTGGTTTCGAGCCCCGATTCCCGCTCCCGCGGAATAGGGGCCCGGGGGGAACCCCATCCCCGCATCCGCGTCAACCGGAAGTGACGTCGGACGCTGGGGGCGGAGCCACGCCATTTGAGGGGAAAACAAAGAGTTTTCCCTCACTTCCGGGTGACGCGGACGCGAAGAGGACGCCGGCCGGGAGCCCCCCGCTCCCAGCCAATTTCGATTTGGCAACCCTAGACCCCCAGTAGGAGTCAGTCACCAGAGGTCCCCATAACGTCCAGGTGCGTGGGCACACACACACACACACACACTCACACATGCACATATAACAAAAAAGAAAAACACACCAGTAGGTTGATTCTACTATGAAGTAGGTTTTGAGCCTGTTTGCCGGGTTCAAATGCAGTGGAGATCAGCATGTCAGGTTTTCCTGTACACAAACTCAGCTGGCATACATATGTTTAAAAACTGACTAATTACATTAATACCAAGGCACAGTGCGACAGAGCATGACGACAATGTGCAGCGCCTCAAACCACTGCCTGATGTTGGACCATCTTTCCCCCACAGAGGATATGGCAGATTAATAACGGTCACAGCTGAAATTGCTGAGGAGCTGACTTGAGGGCAATCCAAGGCTGCAGTGAGTCATTCGTTATGCTTGTTTTGAACATCACATTTCTCTCTAATGTGGCCTAAATATGAGGCAAGCCAAATCATCGGCAATTCAGTTTTAGTTCCAATAACAATTTGTCAAGTGGATGCCTAAAAGACACCCAAATGTACAACAAAATGATTCAAGAATAGCCAGGCCCAACATTTTAATATTTTAATTAAATTAAAAAAAAACCTGGACCTGGATGCTGTTACTGCCTCTTCTTAGCGAACAATGCCTCTGTACGCAGAATCCCCCCCCCGGGGGGGCAGGCTAATTTTTAAAAAAATGAAATCAAGGGTTTTGTTTTTTTTTTACAAAAGGATAGTTGCTTTTTATCCAGTTGTCAAGTGTTAAAAATTGAAACAAGAGGAAAAAAGAAACGAAGGCTGCAGTCACACACACTAAACAATCCAGTTTCAATCCACTTTGAATGCGCTTTCCAACTGGATTTTGCCAGTTCACACAGTAAAATCCAGTTGGAAAGTGCACTGAAAGTGGATTATTTAGTGTGTGTGCCACATCCCAAGTGAGGTGTTTTCACCATCGTACGGAGATTTCTCATGATCCTGCCTGCTTTCCAGTACAGAATATTTGTGGGCAAGCAGCCAGTATGGGAAGATGGGATGTGTTCCAAAAAGTAGGGAAACAGAGAAGGAAACACACACACCCTTTTTTAAGGGACTAAGGAGCACAGGAGTCAGATCTGTAAATAAGGAGATCACTGAATTAGGCTGCGGTCACACACACTAAATAGTCCACTTTCAATCCACTTCCAGTCCACTTTCCAACTGGATTTTACGTGTGTGATGTGTGAACTGGCAAAATCTGGTGGGAAGGTGCCTTGAAAGTGGATTATTTAGTGTGTGTGATTGCAGATTCTGAAAGTTTGAATGTGATTTCAGGATTATGGATTTATATGTTAAATATCATTTCACTTTTCGTGATTTCAGCTTTCCCTTTAAGTATAGCATTTGGGATGTTGTCATTGGGGTTTAGTATGGTAACGTTTACTGTTGATCGTTTATTTGTCACTTGTAACGTGGCCCGCAGTTTGCAAGACTTGAGCAAGGCTGTTTGCAATAGAACATTTTGGTGGACTTTAATTCATAGGGTCACCATAAGCTGGAAGTGACTTGATGGTCCTTTGGATGTCAAATATCATCTGGCCCCTCCTGTTACCTCTCTGTTACCATCTATATTATGTAGGGCAGCCAAGTGGGGGTGGGGGTGGGTAAACCCCCGCTTTGGAGGCCCAATTTCCGCCGCCGCGGAATCGGCCCCCGGGGGGAACTCCGCCCCCCGAAGCGCAGCGTGGCTGCGTCACCAGAGGTGACGCAACCACGTCAATCACATTGGGGGCATAGCCCCGATCGTCGGAGGGAAAACTTTATGGTTTTCCCTCTGATGATCGGGGCCACACCTTCAACGTGGTTGATGTCGCACGTCACTTCCGGTGATGTGCTGGTGGCACGCGCGCGCAAAGCGTGCACATGCATGCATTTTCAGACGGCTCCCGGAGCCTGGCGAGGCTCTCCTGCCGGTAAGCAAAATAGACTTGGCAACCCTAATATTATGGTCTTGGTCTTCAATTTTTGAGGACACAGAATGATAGCCACCTTGGTCTACCCAAGGTAGAATATCCATAATCTGGAATTTTTCAGATCCAGCCCTTCTATTTTTATTGTCTAACACCAGGGCACAGCTGAAATAGCTGTGATGTAGTTTGTTCGCCATCCTCTAAGGGTTAAGTTTATAGTTTTTATCTGATTGTATTGTTTTAGCCCAATGTTGTAAACTGCCCTGAGCCTGCTTGCCGGAAGGGTGGGATACAAATTGAATTTAAAGAATTAATTAATTAACAAACAAACAAACTGCAGCAGCTTTCTCTGGGGGTGTCACCAGATTTCATGAGCACACTGTTTTGATTGGGAGACCCCAGTTTTTGCTCTTGATTCTTCATGTATGGGTCGCAAAATGGCAACCTGGAAGACCCAACCATGAAAAAGGAGTGAAACAATATGAAAACAAAAAGAAATGGGCCTGTTTGTCCCTGGCTAAGTCTCCTCCCCACCTCATGCTTATTGCAACTGTCAACAATGCTGCTGATTTGCCACTGATTTTTTAAAAATACTTTGAATTGCTAAATGAAAACGAGACACTGTAATTGCCTGTTTTTAAAATTGACCTTTTGCTTCCATGCAGACATCTTACGGGAAAGTTTCCTGACTACCCTGACGAACAACAAGGAGGTTCAACGGCTATTTTCTCTGAAAAAACTCCAGAGGAGGTATATTCCATTTGAATCATAACAACAGAAGGTCAAACAAGGGCTGAGGTCAGACTGGCAGTTTGAAGCGCGAGGGAGTCGTGGCAAAAAGACCCGGAACAACTTATTCCGGGTATTCCCGGTCACACTGCACTGACTGATGCGGGAGCATACTGGGGAGGAGGCGCAAGGGAGCATTCACACTGTTGGCCCACCCCTGGTGGAGGCGCGGCTGTAAGTGGCTTTTTCTCACTCCGGTGACATGTGCCTATGCGCATAGGTGCATAGGCGCGCAATTATCAATGCGGCTTGTTCACATAGCTTTTAGCGTTCACACTTCCAGGAAGCGGGATGGATGCGCTCTCCAGGGTTTGCTACCACTTTCACCTGGTATCTTTTAAATTCGGGAAGGAAGCATTACAAGACAAGTTGAGTCCGGCTGGGGAACGCCTGACAGATGTGCCTGTGTGAACGGCCCCTTTAATCCGTTTGTAAAATGTTTCTGAAACATGCCTATATCGGGCCAAACTGCCAGTCTGAACTTGGCCAATGTGTGTGTTTTTAAGTTGTAAAAATTATAGGTCATTTAGGCAAGGAAGCTGTTTTCACCACTTGACCACTCGAAACAAATTCAGTGTCACTTGAAGCTTATGGCTAATAAATTAAACTCAAACTTATTTATTTATTTATTTATTTATTTGGTTAGATTTACTAGGCCGCCCTTCCCTACAAGCAGGGCTCAGGGTGGCTTACTACAAAATAGTATACAAGTCTCAATTTAGAACTCAGTTAAGACAAACCAATAAATACCAATAGATAAAAACAGCATTCATACAATATATAAGATGGCGGAAGGAATTCCAGCTCCCCGGCTTCCCTGGAGGGAGGGATTATGGGGGATGGGGAATTATATGAGAGTGCCAAAGAACACCCTGTTGCTGTCCTCAAATGAAGGCCCGATGAAACACCTCTGCCCTGCATGCCCTGCGGAAAGGTAACAGCGCCTGCTGGGCACGGATGTCTTCCGGCAGAGGCATTCCACCAGGCGGGGGCCAGGGCTGAGAAAGCCCTGGCCCTGGTTGAGGACAGTAATATTAATATTATAATAATCAGTTCTTCGTATGTCAGAGAAATGTGAACATCTGAACTGAATTTATGCAGTGTTACTCGAGGTGCTTAAAAAAAAAGTAGATTGTGAAATGCTTTTCATGCTGTCCCGATTTTCAGTTCTTTGGGTTTTGAAAGAACGTATTACAGTGCTATTGAATTTTACCATTTGGCAGGAGAATCCCTGAAAGTTCATACATCATTGGATGCTAATAAAACTTTACAGAATATGCACACATCCTGTCACAGATGCCTCCTCTCCATCTGGCTGCTGCTTCCTACCATTACTCCACCCCCAACATTCCTACAGGAGGACCTGCTCTTTGGTCTTCCACAGATATTTGCGAGAATCGGCTGGCTTGTTGGTTTTTTCCTGTTGGTAGCATGTTCTTTTGTCCTTCCTTTAGACTCTTTAACCTCCTCTGAATCCCATGGCCCACAGTTCCCTTGGTTCAGTTACATTTGATCTATCAGTAAGGCTATGGTAAGAGTTTCCAAACAGCCAGTTTTTCTTCCACTATTGCAAATGATGAAAAGCTCCCAGACGGCATTGTCTTTATATATTTGTTTTAACTTCAATTATCGTCCGTCTGTCTCATCGAAACTCAAGGCAGATTACAGAATGATAGAACTCTGTAAAAATGCCAATATAATAATACAATATACAATATAATAAGACTGAGTTACAGAAACCGAGAAGAATGAAATTAAAGACATTTTTAATACAATCAATGAATGTCAAAGTATGGGTGTGGAGACAAGGGGGGAGAAATTGCCTAAGGTTTTTCACAGATAGTCAAAACTAGTCCAGGCCAGTTTGGCTGGGGATCCTGGAGGTTTTATGTCATCTTCTGGGCATGAAACGGGTCACCAGGGGTGTGGGGGGGAGGTATTAGTGAATTTCCTGCATTGTGCACAGGGTTGAACTAGATGGCCCTAGAGGTCCCTTCCAACTCTGTGATTCTACATCCCTCTTCTGTTACGGGAACTCCCCTTTATAAAAGGTGCCCTGCTTCACAATTCTGTTGCACCATTTTCAGTCTGTTCGCCACTGTATTACACCAGCTCTCCATTTCTTCTTTAATATCTTTTAACTCTTGACCTTCTGTTGGCTATATATCATCCGGATTCTTCTGGGGACATGTCCTTCAGCTCAGATACTCCTGGGCAATTCAGTGGCCTCACCAACTTTCCATCTCTGCTGCTCCGTGAGCCACTACCCTGACCAATTGCTCCTTACTGTACCTGTATAGAGACACCATGGACCACACCACTCTCCAGCTCTGCCCTTTTTCTTTCCCATGAGTCACACTTGCCTGCCCATCGCCTAGGAGAAAAGTGCTCGCTAAGCAGTAGCCAGTTAACAAGGAACCCCCGAGGGGATTTGGGACCCCTAGGCCTCACCAACTTTCCATCTCTGCTGCTCCGTGAGCCACTACTCTGACCCATTGCTCCTTACTTCCCCTTCCTCTATCCAGTGGGTTCCAAGCTGCTGTTTGTGGTCTTCTGTACATGTATAGAGACACCACTGACCACACCACTCTCCAGCTCTGCCCTTTTTCTTTCCCATGAGTCACACTTGCCTGCCCATCGCCTAGGAGAAAAGTGCTCGCTAAGCAGTAGCCAGTTAACAAGGAATGGTTGCAAGCACTTGCAGCTTGGCCACATCTGAAAAACATCGCTTAGAGAGCACCTTGAGACCGCTTAGAAGATTAAACAGCAGGGTACTCATGTTTCCCAACATTAAGCAGAGGAAAATACTACTGCTGCTTTGATTGAATGAATGAGGCTGAAGGCAGAGTGTGGAGTTGTTCAGCCCACACAATCCAGGCACAAACGCGCCCCAAGCAGAAACGTAAACTGTATACAGGCAGACAAATGCAGCAAGGCTGATCAAATGCATGTCATGTGCACATAAAGGCACATGCAGGCTTTGGTACCATTGAGAGGTCTTGTTTTGTGGGTGTAGGATACTGTGGCTGTGATCACACTAAATAATGCACTTTCAATGCACTTTGCAACTGGATTTTGCCAGTTCACACAGGCTGGTTCTGTATCTGGCATTTGCTCCACGTTTTCTCAACACTGAGGAAAAGGTGCAGCTCAAAGCCACATTCACATACCCCGGGCCAATGCCACACACACTGCAAAGTCACCCCTGAACAGCCATAAAACTATGCAGAAGGTACCATTATACCTGATGATCAAAGAAAGTGAAAGCAGCATGCAATGCAGAGGGGAATTCCTGTTCCAACGTAGGTTTTGTAAAACAACAAAGGGAAAAGCCAGTGCGGAATCACCTGCAGTAAAATCCAGTTGAAAAGTGCATCGAAAGTGGATTGAAAGCGGATTATTTAGTGTGTGTGATAGCAGCCTGAGTCACAGCAGCAAAACTAGCCCGAGATCAAGCAGGACATTAAGCAAAAATCAAACAATTTGTAACAAAGCACCTCCGAGCATAAGCAGAGTGCTTTTCTCTGTCTTGGGACTGTAGTGTTTGTGTATACTTTATGAATAGTTGTCAATGGTGTTGGGCCCCAACATAGCGGCCAAAAAAGTTTTTAGAATTTTCCTAAAATTTAATCCATTTTCTTTTACTGTTGAAAAAGATCAGCCTTCCCCCCCCCCACAGGACATAATTAAGAGGCGGGGTCTGCAGCGTAATGGCACGTCTCCCCCATAAATTAAAGCTGAGGACCTCCCTATGTAGAAATTAATCAATAATGCCCCCCAGCAGACAACATTCTGTTCCGCCCTAACAACCATCCATTCCACAACACTCCCTTTCTTTTTATCAGTGCGCTCTCCTTGCCTACACTCCCCACCCCTCACATTTTCTGCCAAGACTTCACCAGGAGTCTGTTTTTAATACTGAGACGGAGCAGGTTGTCTCTAAAACACTTGCTTAGACAGTGTTTCCAACTATCGGGATCAAGCCCACAATCACTTTCCTGTACAAGAAGAAATGACTCCCTTCCCTCTCTCTTCTGCACACATGAAAGCTATATTTTTTAAAAAAATCTGCAGGGCTTTTAATTTCACCATAATGCGTTGTCAGTGAACCATGTGTGTGCAGGAGTGAAAAAGAGAGCACGCGGGAGAGTAAGGGAAGCTGCTTTCCTTAACTCCTGCCCTCTGGATGCTAGCCAAGAATTTTTAAAAAATCTAACTTGTGCTGAACACCAACACCTTTGGCAGGAAGGTTCAGGGGAGGCAAAGTAAAACATGCATTTAAAACAGTACACTTGATGCTAGATCCTTTGTCTTGGTGAAAACAATTTGTCAGTTGCGTTTTTTTAGTTAACATCATAGCTAAACGTAATGCTAAGACAATTAGCCATCCTCAGTCCCCTCACAGAGTCCACTCAGTTTAGCACCTTGGTTTATTGAGGAGTTTTTGGGGGTGTGTGTGTGTGAAGAGGGCTGGTAGACAATTGGAGTGGAAGAAGAAGACCCAAGAGGAAGCCCAGCGTCGTCAGCCCTTTCTTGGGAGTTTGCAGTTGTCCATGTTTCTGCTCTGATCCCATCCCGCATGGAGGATGGGAACAGGCTGCCAAGGAAGAACATCCAGAAGCACCTTCGGGTGATGTAAAATGCTGCAGCAGTAGGGTTGCGAACTCCAGCTTGGGAGCTTCCTGGAGATTTGGGAGCGGTACCAGGGAAGGGCACTGCTTGGGAAGAGGGAGGGACGTGATGCCGTAAAACGTGCCCTCCCAAAGCTGTTATTTCCTCCATGGGTAACTGATATCTGTCGTCTGGAGATTGGTTGAGATGCTGGGAGAACTTCAGGCTCCACCTGGCGGTTGGCAACCCCATGCGGGACGGACCAAAGGAAATACGACTTTACACAACGAGTGATTAAACTGGAATTTGCCGCTAGAGGTGTACTGATGGCATAGACAGCTGTACAAGGG